GGGGGGGTGGTGTTGTTTCAGTTCACTGATCCAATCCGTTCGAGAAGTTTCTACAAGTTTTTCAATTGGCAGCTTACACATTGATTAGAAGACATGATCCTTGAGTTCCCTTGCAATTATGTTGTTGACTAAGCATATATAGACCGCTTGAAATGGTGAAAAGATTTGGGTGTTATTTTGCTAGTACTAGTAGAAATAAAGTACGTTTGACCAAGTATATTACTTGAGAAAGAGTTCTAAATCTAGCTAATGTTTGACCAAGTATATTTATGTAATACTCATTAAAAGAAAGAGGGTACTTACGTAATTTACCAAAAAAAAATTATAAATAAGATTAAATAGGGCAAAAGCCCTACGCTAGCTAAAACGAAACGAAAAAGAAAGAAAGGGTCAAAGCCCCTTTCTCTGGCAAACAAAATCAAACTGTTCTGCGTAAAACCAAGCAGAAGCAAAAAGGATTTTGATGGGTCAGAATTAAAGCGAAAAATCAAGAACAAATACAGAAGGTGAGATGGGGAAAAAGCTTAGTATCGCAAAAGAAGCCACTTCCATCCATTATTTGTTCAAATCTTCAAGTACTTATTCCACAAATTTGAGGATATATTTTAATGGTTAGAGTTAAATAAGGAGATTGACAAAAGCCAGTAAAACAAGGGAAAATATGTATAAATTTTTGTTAATCTTTGGCAATCTGTTGAGGAATCTTAAGCACAAAGTGTGTCTTATGGGTATAGCTTGAGCTTCTCTTTTTGGTAGATTTTAATTTCGATTCTGGGAGATTCTACAGAGAAATAGAAATTACACTAGTTCATTCATACTTCCTAAAGAATCAATGGAACTTAATGAAATTGGATTAATAAAATATATTAATATGTTGGAGTTGATAAATTAGTAATTACTCATAGGTGGGTAAATATAATTCGGCGAATTAAGAGTCAAATATGAAACCTCGAGGGTCGGGTATTCTAAATTAGCTATGAATTAGCCTAAACAAGGAAATTAACATGAGATTGATATTATGTAATTATAGATTGATTGGAAGAATTTGTACAAATTGCTCGAGGTGAAGCATTTGGTATTTCGGCACGAGTACTGTGAGTAGTAACCTTACCTCAATTTGTATTTCTACAACTAGCATGATTTACATACGATTTTAATATGAACATGTTACCGACTGTTTTGAATTTGCATGTGGGACAAGTCCTTTACTCGATATGATACTACTATATTTATTTTAGACGATCACAGTCATTCTGAATATTCTCATTGTTACTGAATATGTTATACCACTACTTGAGATAAAATTTACCGTTATCAAAACAAAGTTACATGATTTGATAAGAATCGAAATGCCCTAGTTGTTTTAAAATATTTTCCTATGAGTATATACGGATTATAGAGACAAGTATAAATGGAAGTAGACTTTGAAGGATCCCGTAGCTAACGGCGGGTTCGTTAGACCTAGTGCACCTTGTATTTACCGATTATAGAGTATAGTTATAGCCCTCGCTAGTGGGAAGGTAGAACTAGCATACCGTTACCGATTTCCCTCGTGTAGGGACTACCGTTATATTTGACTTCTTGCGAAGAAGTCCACAGTTATACCGATTACATGATCCGTTCATTGAAACCTCCCAAAAATGTGAATACTGATATTATACAATGGTTACCGAGCTTATTACTGAATTGTTAATTATATTTTACTATAAGAAAAACGTGATGAGACTGAAATGATTTATTGTTTCTGAAAGGGCATTTGTATGTTATTTTTTGTTTGATATACTAGCATGTTTTCTGACTTGTCCCCAAATTAAAAACGGTTGTGGTTAAGTGTTATTACTCACTGAGCTAGCGACTCATTCCCCGCTAATTTTTTTATAGAGACAACAGTTGACGCAGGCGAGGATCTCGTTAATTAGAGCACACAGGTTGAGAATTCTTCGTGAGCCTCGCATTTGTTCGCGTGGGAGGAGGTTTTATCAATTGTTATGGTCTTTTCTTTGAATTCTTAGAGTCACTCCATAGTCATTCTTTTAGTGTCATGAGTATTATTTTGCTATTAGTCTTATGTCGAGTATCATTCTTTATTATCAAAATCGGAGATAAATTAGTATTTCTGGTTGTTAGTGGGTTGATCAGTAATGGTGAAGACTATTTTGGTTAATTGATAAGTTGTCGATTGTTGAATTGCTATTAGGATGTTTGGTTGCTGATTTGAGACAGGAAAATTTTATGGGATAGTCCAAAAACAAGGGAAATTCTGTTCGATTTTCTATAAAATTACCGATAAGGCTTACTTGGGAGCACTTGCTCCTAAACGCCGATCATAATCCTAAATTGGGTCGTAACAATTTAACTTGAGAAAGAGTTTTAAATCTAGCTAATGTCATACTGATACGATCACATCCAATTCAACTAAGAGTAATCGTTTCAAAATCCAAACTAGGGTCATGGGCCCTTAGTTTGAGTCCGACTAGCCTATCACACCTAGCGATGCTACCAATGTTAAGGTGACCAGTGTCTTTTGAAGCATTTTCTATAACAACACTTTGCTATAATATCTAAAACTATTCGAAATAAACGAGGTTATTATAAAGAGGTTTGATACCCACAGTGAATCAATTGAGCTTCTAAAGATTTGATAATATATACAACAACATGAAAAAGGGTCATAGCCCGACATGTGACATTAAGGGAAGAAATACAAGAGAAGCTTCCCCAGTATCTAGTATCTGTTATCAACCTCTAGTCCTCAATCACAACAATTCAATGCCTAACCTATCTCGCCAAAGTCAATTGCATGTTGGCTGATAGCTAATGCTTATAGAACTAGTTAACTGGAAACTGAAGCTCTGAATCAAGGTGTACCGGTATTGAAACTAGAGTACTAACCCCATAGAATTAAAATCTTGAATTCGCCTCCGGCTACATGTCAGAGACAATCTTCAACCTATCTATTATAAACCAAAGAAAGTGAGGTGTTTATCTCTTCTTTGGTACAACACACTTGACTTGGACAGCCAAAGTCTTGAAAATATTAGGGCATGGGTCCTTGTTTGGCTCGTCAAAAACTTCTCTCTCAACTGGCACAGAACAAGTGTGTTTTCCCAAACAATACTTTTCTGCTACTTTAATACTATTAGGTGAAGTGCAATTTCCCATGTAGAAATTTCCACATGCACCATCTGGATCACCATAACTAGCAAACTCAACTTTCTCGATCACATTATCGTCTGGGCAAGTTAAGTGAGCTCCTGCTTTGAGATCTTCTACGACGGCACGAAATTTACTTCCAGATCTCTCCCAATACTTAACGTTTGGAGGATGATATTCGGTGATCATACTGCAGATCGTGTCTCTGTTTACTGTTACTATTTGAATTGTTTCTGGGTGACCTCCAGTTTCTTCAAAAACAACTAGGAGATTATTCTTTGGCTTCAAAAATGCTCTTGGAATATGATACCTGATCAATTCATAATTTTCATATACGTTATCATATTTGACCAATTGATATATTTGGTCTTTTTTTAGGGTTGGGG